GTAGTCAAAAGATTACAGAGGTACATAATTGGTCCAGGGACTGGACTCCAAAGTCCAAAAAGTCCACATTGTTCAAATCTTCTTTGCCTCTTCCTTCCCTTCTTCCACCTCCACACTTTACCTTTCCAGTCTCTGTGCCTAGTTCTTCCCCTCTCTCTGGCTCTATTACAAGTGTGGAGATTCACCCTCCTCCTCGTACTATGCCTTCCACCCCCGTCCCCTCCCAAGTTTCTCCCTCTTCTGCCACCTCTCAGGTTTCTGCCTCTTCTGTCCCCCCCCCACACTTCATCTCCAGTCCCTTACACTCTTTCGTCCCCCTCTACTTTGGTACAGTCCATTACTGTCCCAATCTTTACTCACCCTTCCCCTTCTATCTCCAATATGGTGTCCCATACATCTTTGAATTCAGAAACACTTGAAGCCATTTCAGAATATATTGCAGAGACTAAACCTTCAATGGACACTGATTCACTTCCTGTTCCTTCTCTTCCCTCTCCTCCATCTTCACAACCCCATTCTTCGCAATGCTCCGTTCCTTTGCTGCTTGAACATCTTCCAATGCCACCACACGTTGACTTTTCTAACCCCTCTAGTCCGTAGGTGCCTTTCCCTACGGATTCCTGGTATTTTCTTCATCGCCAATCATGGCCTATTTACAGTGGAATATCCGCGGCCTCAGGGGTAATCGGGGTGAGCTTCAGATGTTGCTTTCCAGGTTTTCCCCTGTTGGTGCTTGCTTACAAGAACCAAAATTACACTCAGCTGTTTTCCAACCTATCTCAGGCTATAATTTATTGTATTCTTCGGATCCTTTCTCAGATGGGACCTTTAATGAAAGTGCCCTTCTTCTACGCAATGATATTCTGTACTGTCAACTATTTGTCCATACCTCGCTGCATTACACTGCAGCCCGTATCCACTTGAATAAGTGCTTTACAATATGTTCTTTATATCTCTCTCCTTCTCGAGCATTTTCTATCCCAGGCTTTGCCTTTCTTGTTTGTTTCATCCTTACCACCACCACTTCTGTTACTTGGTGATTTTAACGCCCACCATTTCCTCTGGGGGGGTCTCATTGTGACTCACGTGGCATCCAGTTGGAGGCTTTTCTTGCCTCTTACCCCCTCCATGTTTTAAATATGGGTACTCCCACCCATTTTGATCCTCGTACTCATACTCTCTCTTGCATCGATCTATCAGTCTGCTCTTCCTCCACTGCACTAGACTTCACCTGGTCTGTTCTACCGGACTTACATGACAGCGATCATTTTCCAATCATTCTTACTTCTCCTTCATATTCACCACCTTTCCGTAGCCCTCGCTGGCAATTTGATCCGGCAAATTGGGACCTTTACTCGCAGCTCACTGCTTTTAGTGAGGTTCCTTCTTCATCCTCCATTGATGAGCTCCTACACCTCTTCCCGACGTCAGTTTATACCGCAGCTTCTCATTCTATACCCCAAACCTCAGGCAAGTATTCTCAGAAGTGTGTGCCTTGGTGGTCTCCTGCTTGTGCTCGTGCAGTACGTTTGAAACGTGCTGCATGGGGCAGGTACCGATACAATAGAACCAATGAGAGACTTCTTGATTTTAAGCAGAAGCGTGCGATCGCTTGCCGTGTCATCCATGATGCTAAACGCACTTGCTGGCGAGACTATGTTTCCACCATCACCTCTGCTTCCTCTATGAGTGCAGTCTGGAAAAAAGTGAGGAAATTGAGTGGTAAATACTCTCCTGACCCGGCTCCTGTTCTATGGGTCGCCGGTATTGACATAGCAAACCCTCTTGACGTTGCCATTGAAATTGGCACTCATCTGGTCTGTATTTCCCAGGGGCTCCATCTATGCCCCTCGTTTCTTTCCTCAAAGTCTGCCAGAGAGTTAGTACCCTTGGACTTTTCTTCTCTCAGAGAAGAACAATATAATGTGCCTTTTACACTTCAGGAACTGGAGGCAACACTCTCAGCTTGCCGATCATCGGCAGCTGGACCTGACGACATTCATATTCGTATGTTACAACATTTACATCAGTCAGCCCTTGTAGTCCTCTTACACCTCTTCAATCTTATTTGGGCACAAGGAGTTTTTCCCCAGCTGTGGAAATCTGCCATTGTTCTCCCTTTCCGCAAGCCGGGTACTACAGGACATGATGCCTCCCACTATCGTCCCATCGCTCTTACTAGTGCAGTTTGCAAAGTAATGGAACGTCTGGTAAATCGCCGTTTAATGTGGTATTTAGAGACACACAACAGTCTCTCCGCTAGTCAATATGGCTTTCATAAGGGACATTCTACCATAGACCCCTTACTACGCTTGGATACGTATGTTCGTAATGCCTTTGCAAATAATCACTCAGTTATTGCCATATTTTTTGACCTTGAGAAGGCATATGACACAACTTGGAGGTATAATATTTTGGCCCAAGCCCACTCCTTAGGCCTCCGAGGCAATCTACCATCCTTCCTTAAGAACTTTTTAACTGACAGACACTTCCGTGTTCGGGTCAATAATGTGCTTTCCCCAGACTTTGTCCAAGCTGAAGGTGTCCCTCAGGGATGTGTTCTGAGCACAACACTTTTTCTCCTTGCTATAAATGATTTGGCCTCTGTTCTTCCACCCAATATTTGGTCATCACTCTATGTTGATGACTTCGCTATAGCTTGTGCAGGCGCTGACTGTCATCTCATTGGAGTTTCTCTCCAGAATGCGGTCGACCGTGTTTCCACTTGGGCCACCACGCATGGGTTTAAATTTTCCAGTACCAAAACTCACCAAATTACTTTCACTAGATGCTCTGTCATCTCCGATCATCCTTTGTATCTCTATGGCTCTCGTATCCCAGAACATGATACAGTCAGGTTTCTAGGCCTTCTCTTTGACCGCAGGTTATCCTGGAAACCTCACATTACCTCTCTGAAGGCAACTTGTCACAGCCGGCTAAACCTTCTTAAAACCCTTGCTCATCTTTCCTGGGGAGCTGATCATTGAACTCTGCTTCGCCTACATTCAGCCCTCGTTTTATCGAAACTCGATTATGGTGACCAGATTTATTCAGTGGCCTCTCCTGCTACCCTCTCTAGCCTTAACCCCATCCATCACCAAGGATTATGTTTATGCCTTGGTGCTTTTCGCTCTTCCCCTGTTGAGAGCCTCTATGCAGAAGCGAATGTTCCATCCTTGTCTGATCGCCGTGATGCCCATTGCCTTTGCTACTATGTACGCTCTCACGATCTCCACAATCCTTCCATTTATAGAATGGTCACCGATATTAGTAGACATTCTTTATTTGTTCGCCGCCCCAGTTTGCTCCGTCCCTTTTCTCTTCGCCTACATTCGCTCTTGTCTTCCCTTCAGTTACCACCTTTATATGTTTATGTAGCATCTCACTTTTCTCTACCCCCCTGGGAAGTTCCAGCTGTTCGGGTCTGTTCTTTCTCACTCCCTTGCTCGAAAGCCCAACTACCTATGGTGGCTTCCCACTCTCTTTTTCTTGATCACTTCCACTCTCATTCTCATGCCATCGCTGTGTACACAGATGGCTCTAAGTCTTCAGACGGTGTCAGATTCGCAGCAGTGTTTCCGGACAGCGTCATGCGAGGGCATTTACTGTCTTCAGCTAGCATTTTTACTGCCGAATTGTATGCCATTCTTGCAGCACTTATTCGTATCGCATCTATGCCTGTGTCATCGTTTGTGGTAGTCTCAGACTCCCTTAGTGCTTTACAAGCTGTACAAAAATTTGATACATCTCACCCCCTAGTTCTCCGCATCCAACTTTGGCTATGCCGTATCTCTACCAAGCATAAAGATATTGTTTTTGTTGGGTCCCTGGTCATGTCGACGTACAGGGCAATGAACAGGCAGACACTGCTGCGCGGTCAGCAGTACATGACCTACCAATTTCCTATAGAGGTGTTCCATTTCTGGACTATTTGCTGCAATAGCTACCCACCTTCACACCCGTTGGCAACAACGTTGGTCAACTCTGCTCGGTAACAAACTTCATTCTATTAAACCGAGCATAGGTTACTGGCCGTCTTCTTGTCATCAGTGCCGAGGTTGGGAGACCACTCTCTCCCGCCTTCGCATTGGCCACACTCGTCTTACTCATGGGTATCTCATGGAGAGGCACCCTGTTCCTCTCTGTGAGCAGTGTCAAGTTCCAGTATCGATTAGCCACATTCTGTTAGACTGCCCTCTCTATCAACGAGCACGCAGAATTTACCTCCAACGTCGTCTTCGTTCTACTACTCTCTCTTTACCTTCCCTTCTTGCTGATGGACCCTCCTTTAATCCTGACTCTCTCATTGACTTCTTGACAACGACTGATTTACTCCACAAACTCTGATGATGATACCTTTTGCACTCCCCTCAGCCCTTTCTAGTTGTCTCTTGCTGCCCTTTACCCTTTCACCATCCACTGCCCTGCTGTTATCCGTAACCTATTACTCATCCATCTCCCTTTTGCCACCTGATACCCTCGCTTCCTTCCTACCCTGCAGCGCTGTACAGCCCTTGTGGCTTAGCGCTTCTTTTTGATTATAATAATAATAATAATCCAACTCTTGCGGTTTACCGCTTCCCATGAATAATATTTTATTTAAGTGTAATATAATTATAATTAAAATATATTCCTAATATAATTGTAATGATGTAATTTAATATAATTGCAATATAAAATAATAATAATAATAATAATAATAATAATAATAATAATAATAATAATAATAATAATAATAATAATAATAATAATAATGGGTGATCTAAATGATTAAGACTCGTATCCGGAGGTACTACTCCTCTTTGCTGAGAAATAAAATATTAAAAAATAATAATTTTTAATTCTAGTCTTGCCTTAGTTTTGTTCAACACTTTAGTAAATTTCTGTCATTCTCTGGGGGTGTTTTCACCTTACTGTACTTTGATCCTTTTATTATTCCCTAAACATCATCAACCCTTAAATTCTTCACATATTTGCAACAGGTTAGTAAAACACACGTCTTGTCATAAATACCTTTACTTAACTTAAATTTATACATGTGATATCAAAATAGGCAACTTAAACTAAAGTTATTTACAAAAGACCGATGTTGTGGCCTGTGTGTGGTGAGGATGGGCGGTCCAAACCACACGGGTGTTTTAGGTTGCCACGGACCACGGCAGATGTTAGTGGCCGCCCACAAGTGGTGTCCAGCATCACCTGAGGGCGGGCACGTGGTCCGGGTGGGCGGGCGACGGGCATACAGCAGATGTCCGGGCGGTGGATGGGCGGGCGGAGCCGGATAGCAGCTAGAGGCTTAATAACCATAGCCGTACATCATGGTGGAGCACTTGGTGACAGTGTGGTACTCGGGCACTGTGGCGTACACCGTCATGGTGACGTACTGGTTCACGGACTCCGTCACTGTGTTGTACACATATTCTTCCTTGTACTGAGTTTCGTACTCTGTGACGTAGTACGGGTTGGTGACGGTCATGGTGACGTACTGCTGTTGCACCTTGGTCTGTGTTACGTAGTAGCCTTTAGTCTCGTAGCCGGTTTTGGTGACGGTGTTAGTCATAGGGTAGCTCTGCGTCTCCGTCAGTGTGACGTAGACGGCAGCGGTCTCCGTGAAGTACTGCTTGGCTGTGTTGTAGCCGTACACTGATTCCGTCATGTAGATGGGTACAGTTACCATCTTAGTGTCGTAGAGGATCTTGGTCTCTGTGAAGATCTTGGGCTCAGCATAGGCTGTCATGGTAGAGTACTGGATAATTGTCTTGGGGTAGACGAGAGTCTCAGTGATGTAGGCGTACTGAGTAGTGGGTAGTGCCTTGATGACGGTAGCGTAGTGAGCCTGCGTGTCCTGCACGTCCTTCGTCATCGTCTTAGTGATGTACTTTGGGTAGCAAGCCGGGGCCTTGGGCGGTGGACCATACGAGGGAGAGGGCGGCGGGCCATAAGATGGAGAGATGGGATCTACCTGCAGGAAGCCGCCACCACCACCCCCACCGTGTTCTGGGAGACCTGAGACTGTCCACACCAGCGCCACCGACACCACCACACCCAACGCACCTGTCCCGAACATCTGCAATGAAACAATTTTATAACTGATAGCAGGCCCAGTTATTATTATTACTACTACAGTAAAGAGAAACGTGCATCAAAACGAGACTTTTATTAGCACGTTTCGCTTACTCGAGGCTTTATCAAGTACTTGATAAATCCTCATGTACGTGTAATGTATTACTAATAAAGGTCTCCTTTTGCTGTCTTTAACACTTGTCAGCTACGCCATGCGTCACCTGTTTTATTATTATTATTATATCTATGGGTAAGTATTAAATCCATGAGTTACGTAGCAACTGGGTATGAGAAGCAATTACGTTGACTCACAGGAAGGTGGGTAGCACCAATATTAACAACACAGGAAGGTGGGGTAGCACCAATATTAACAACACAGGAAGGTGGGTAGCACCAATATTAACAACACAGGAAGGTGGGTAGCACCAATATTAACAACACAGGAAGGTGGGGTAGCACCAATATTAACAACACAGGAAGGTGGGTAGCACCAAATATTAACAACCAGGAAGGTGGGTAGCACCAATATTAACAACACAGGAAGGTGGGGTAGCACCAATATTAACAACACAGGAAGGTGGGTAGCACCAATATTAACAACACAGGAAGGTGGGTAGCACCAATATTAACAACACAGGAAGGCGGGTAGCACCAATATTAACAACACAGGAAGGTGGGGTAGCACCAATTTTAACAACCCACAGGAAGGGGGGGTAGCACCAATATTAACAACACAGGAAGGGGGGGTAGCACCAATTTTAAAACAACACAGGAAGGTGGGGTAGCACCAATATTAACAACACAGGAAGGTGGGGTAGCACCAATATTAACAACACAGGAAGGTGGGTATCACCAATATTAACAACACAGGAAGGTGGGGTAGCACCAATATTAACAACACAGAAAGGTGGGGTAGCACCAATATTAACAACACAGGAAGGTGGGTATCACCAATATTAACAACACAGGAAGGTGGGTAGCAATAATATTAACAACACAGGAAGGTGGGGTAGCACCAATATTAACAACACAGGAAGGCGGGGTATCACCAATATTAACAACACAGGAAGGTGGGGTAGCACCAATATTAACAACACAGGAAGGCGGGGGTAGCACCAATATTAACAAAAACGGGAAAGGGTGGGGTAGCACCAATATTAACAACACAGGAAGGTGGTGTAACACCAATATTAACAACACAGGAAGGCGGGGTACCACCAATATTAACAACACAGGAAGGCAGGGTAGCACCAATATTAACAACACAGGAAGGTGGGGTAGCACCAATATTAACAACACAGGAACGTGGGGTACCACCAATATTAACAACACAGGAAGGCGGGGTAGCACCAATATTAACAACACAGGAACGTGGGGTACCACCAATATTAACAACACGGGAAGGTGGGGTAGCACCAATATTAACAACACAGAAAGGTGGGGTAGCACCAATATTAACAACACAGGAAGGTGGGTATCACCAATATTAACAACACAGGAAGGTGGGTAGCACCAATATTAACAACACAGGAAGGTGGGGTAGCACCAATATTAACAACACGGGAAGGTGGGTAGCACCAATATTAACAACACAGAAAGGTGGGTTAGCACCAATATTAACAACACAGGAAGGTGGGTATCACCAATATTAACAACACGGGAAAGGGTTGGGGAAAGCACCAATATTAACAACACAGGAAGGTGGGGTAGCACCAATATTAACAACACGGGGAAGGTGGGTAGCACCAATATTAACAACACAGGAAGGGGGGGTTTAGCCCCAAATATTAACAACACAGAAATGTGGGTAGCACCAATATTAACAACCAGGAAGGGGGGTATCACCAATATTAACAACACAGGAAGGTGGGTAGCACCAATATTAACAACACAGGAAGGCGGGGTATCACCAATATTAACAACACAGGAAGGTGGGGTATCACCAATATTAACAACACAGGAAGATGGGGTAGCACCAATATTAACAATACAGGAAGGTGGGGTATCACCAATATTAACAACACAGGAAGGTGGGGTAGCACCAATATTAACAACACAGGAAGGGGGGGTAGCACCAATATTAACAACACAGGAAGGTGGGGTAGCACCAATATTAACAACACGGGAAGGTGGGTAGCACCAATATTAACAACACAGAAAGGTGGGGTAGCACCAATATTCACAACACGGGAAGGTGGGTATCACCAATATTAACAACACGGGAAGGTGGGGTACCCACCAATATTAAAAACACAGGAAGGTGGGGTACCACCAATATTAACAACACGGGAAGGGGGGTTTAGCACCAATATTAACAACACAGGAAGGTGGGGTAGCACCAATATTACAACACGGGAAGGTGGGGTATCCCCAAAATTTTAACAACACAGGAAGGGGGGGTAGCACAATATTCACAACACAGGAACGTGGGGGTACCACCAATATTAACAACACAGGAAGCGGGTATCACCAATTTTAAACAACCCCAGGAAGGCGGGTATCACCAATATTAACAACACAGGAAGGTGGGTAGAAACCAATTTAACAACACAGGAACGGGGGTACCACCAATATTAACAACACGGAAGGCGGGGGAAACCACCAATATTAACAACACAGGAAGGCGGGTATCACCAATAAAAAACAACACAGGAAGGTGGGTAGCACCAATTTTAACAACACAGGAAGGTGGGGTACCACCAATATTAACAACACAGGAAGGTGGGGTAGCACCAATATTAACAACACAGGAACGTGGGGTACCACCAATATTAACAACACAGGAAGGTGGGGTAGCACCAATATTAACAACACAGGAAGGTGGGGTATCACCAATATTAACAACACAGGAAGGTGGGTAGCACCAATATTAACAACACAGGAAGGTGGGGTAGCACCAATATTAACAACACAGGAAGGGGTAGCACATATTAACAACACAGGAACGTGGGGTACCACCAATATTAACAAAAACAGAAGGTGGGTACACCAATATTAACAACACAGGAAGGTGGGGTAGCACCAATATTAACAACACAGGAAGGTGGGGTAGCACCAATATTAACAACACAGGAAGGTGGGTAGCACCAATATTAACAACACAGGAAGGTGGGGTAGCACCAATATTTAACAACACGGGTGAAGGGTGGGTCCCACCAATATTAACAACACAGGAAGGGGGGGTAGCACAATATTAACAACACAGGAAGGTGGGGTATCCCCCAATATTAAAAACACAGGAAGGTGGGTAGCACCAACATTAACAACACAGGAAGGTGGGTAGCACCAATATTAACAACACAGGAAGGTGGGTAGCACCAATATTAACAACACAGGAACGTGGGGTACCACCAATATTAACAACACAGGAAGGTGGGTAGCACCAATATTAACAACACAGGAAGGTGGGGTAGCACCAATATTAACAACACAGGAAGGTGGGTAGCACCAATATTAACAACACAGGAAGGCGGGGTAGCACCAATATTAACAACACAGGAAGGTGGGGTAGCACCAATATTAACAACACAGGAAGGCGGGGTAGCACCAATATTAACAACACAGGAAGGTGGGTAGCACCAATATTAACAACACAGGAAGGCGGGGTAGCACCAATATTAACAACACAGGAAGGCGCGGGTAGCCCCAAATATTAACAACACAGGAAGGCGGGGTAGCACCAATATTAACAACACAGGAAGGTGGGTAGCTGAGAGTAAGACACATGTGCAACATCTGGGTATCTTTATTGTAGACGTTTCGCCATCCAGTGGCTTTATCAATACAAATTCTAGGACATAACTTGAAGACAGTAGAACTATGTACAGAAGATGAGGTAATCAGTCCCTCAACCTAGGAGTAGGTGCGAACAGCACCATAGTCGTGGAGATTCTGAAGCAGAAGAAAGAATCCTGGCGCTTATATAGTACATGTACATAACCTTCACAACTACGACTACTACTACAACTAACCCATCTCTTTGGGAAGGACCTACTTCCACTGGGGAATCCCGCCCACCAGTGAATTTGCCCTCGTCTGCTTCACCTGACGTTACTATATAAGCGCCAGGATTCTTTCTTCTGCTTCAGAATCTCCACGACTATGGTGCTGTTCGCACCTACTCCTAGGTTGAGGGACTGATTACCTCATCTTCTGTACATAGTTCTACTGTCTTCAAGTTATGTCCTAGAATTTGTATTGATAAAGCCACTGGATGGCGAAACGTCTACAATAAAGATACCCAGATGTTGCACATGTGTCTTACTCTCATCTTGTCGGTATTATATACCTTTCGTACACAAGGTGGGTAGCACCAATATTAACAACACAGGAAGGTGGGGTAGCACCAATATTAACAACACAGGAAAAACACCACCATATTCCATCACTCAGAAGTGGTGTAACACATATTGTTGAAATGTGTCAGCCTCAGCTGGGAGACTTCAGTAGTGTCAGCCTCGGCTGGGAGACTTCAGTAGTGTCAGCCTCGGCTGGGAGATTTCAGAAGTGTCAGCCTCAGCTGGGAGACTTCAGTAGTGTCAGCCTCAGCTGGGAGACTTCGGTAGTGTCACCCTCAGCTGGGAAACTTCAGAAGTGTCAGCCTCAACTGGGAGACTTCAGTAGTGTCATCTTCAGCTGGGAGACTTCAGTAGTGTCAGCCCAGCTGGGAGACTTCAGTAGTGTCAGCCTCAGCTGGGAGACTTCAGTAGTGTCATCTTCAGCTTGGAGACTTCAGTAGTGTCAGCCCAGCTGGGAGACTTCAGTAGTGTCAGCCTCAGCTGGGGGAAATTCGTAGTGTCAGCCCAGCTGGGAGACTTCAGTAGTGTCAGCCTCAGCTGGGAGACTTCAGTAGTGTCATCTTCAGCTTGGAGACTTCAGTAGTGTCAGCCCAGCTGGGAGACTTCAGTAGTGTCAGCCTCAGCTGGGAGACTTCAGTAGTGTCAGCCTCAGCTTGGAGACTTCAGTAGGGTCAGCCTCAGCTGGGAGACTTCAGTAGTGTCAGCC